GCCTTTTCCTTTCCATCGTTGTGACTTTTAAGGACTAACAATATTCTAAAAATAAATATTAAAAAAACACTTTTAATTTCTATATCAGTACCAATAAAGTTGAAATAAATGAACGTTGCTTGTAGCATTGCATTGGATGCTTCCAGCTCCATTCATCATCCAGTTTCTGACAACCATAATTACAATTTCTTTTTCTTTTTTCCCATGGACCTACGAACCGTAGCTTCATTGAAATGTACGTTGGGTCATTATTTTTTTGTTTTTTATTTGCGGTTTTCAAAAAGTGTTTTGTAGTTTGAAATGGGGCTTAATTTAATTTTTAGTCTATTAATTATCACTTTAATTTCATTTTAGTTAAGAAATTATGTTTTATTTTTAAGTGATCTATTAACTTTCAGATTCATTTCAATTTCATCTACTTGATCAAAGATAACTGAAAACTTCTTATTTTGTTAGAGAACAATTAGTCCTTTGACTATATTTTTTTTGATTTTTTAGTCCTTAAATTTATATTTGTTATAAAAATAACTTTTTTACTTAAAATTATTATTTATAGGCTTTGATACCAGATTTTTATACGGATTTTTCTATTTTTTTAATTTGGTATCAAAGCCTAAAAGTTAATAGACCACTTAGAAATAATAATTTTAAGTATAAAAATCTAGTATCGTAGCCTAAAAATAATAATTTTAAGTATAAAAACTATTTTTATAACAAATATAAATTTGAGGATTAAAAGATAAAAAAAATATAATTAGAAGACTAACTGTTTTCTAACCGAATACGAAGTTTTTCGTTATCTTTGACAAAGTAGACGAAATTGAAATGAATTTGAAAATTAATAGATCACATAGAAATAAAACATAATTTCTAGACTAAAATAAAATTAAGGTGGTAGTTAATAGGCTAAAACTTGAATTAAGCCTTTAAAATGGTGTAGGAAATAAAACGAAAACTTTTAAAAGAAAAATAATTTCTTAAATTTACACATATTTTTTAAGAATAATTATTTTATTATATTTTTTAATTTTCCGAAAGGTCCAAAGTACACGATGCTTTTGCCTTATTTCTGCCACTGAATCTGGACGGAATGAAATAATGAAAAGCGACATACCCCCCACAAGAGTCAAGACAGACGTCGACGGTAAGCACCACACCAAACAAACCCCACAAGGCAGACGGTCCCACATGCAATTATACTTTGGACCCTTCGCCGGGGTGGGGGGGAGGGGGGTGAGAAAATAAATTCACATAAACGAGAAGTCATTTCTTTGATATTTCTTTTAATTGACTAATCGTCAACCGTAAAGACCTGATATAT